TTTAGGTACCCTTAAGTAGAGGATAATTCAGTGGAATCATAAGACCAAGTCCGTTGCTATATTGGGTTTATCTGCCCAAAGTTTTGGTGGCAGGGCTGCAGGAGTGGCTTCTGTGAGATCAGGGGTTGGATCAGTTGGATCGTGTTCATCGGAGCCATTTCAAGCCTGCTCCAAAATAGACCTTCCACTGGCCAAAGCTGAGCCACTTTTTAAATTGTGGATGTGCATACTGCAGGATGTTCAGGACTTGATGGAAAGTTAAGGTTTTTTAAGCCATTTCGAAGGGASAGGAACAGTGAACAGCTGGGCTTTGAAGAAAGCTTCACTTCTGCCACCAGGAGGCTCCATTGTAACGGCATTGGAGCAGTGAAACGTTTTTCCATGGGAGCGAGTAAGGAACTCCTGGAGACGCTACCGGCAGAAAGAAACACACAGAAACCCCTAACCCCAAAACCTAGTCCAGCCGTCCTTCCCCTTTTATCTTCTTTTTCCTCTGTTTTGTACTTTTCCTTTCTTACTCTCCCTTCCTCACCTGTGCAATGTACAGCTGTTTTAAAACTAAGTACATGCACACGTTTGTGACATCTTAGCTAAATTTGTTGGGTAGGGTTAAAAACACACACACACTTCCCTTTAGAAATTCAGTTAGTGCAGTAATGATCCAAGGTAAACAAATCCCTCTAGATGCAATGGGAACCTCTTCAGCGTTTCTTTTGACAGCACACAAATTKTGGTTCTGAGTCATTAACTACCAGTGTCTCAGGAGTGTTTTCTCCTTTAGGGAAATTACTGGACAGATAGAAACCAAACRTCAGCAAATGCTGCATATTAATCCATGAATGCCAGGTAATCTGCAGCACTGTTGTTAGWCTGGGAACCCTACAGACAGYAGCAATCAGCCATCTAYAGTAAGTGYGAATATAAAGTTGTGTGAGTGGCTTATTTTTGTTGTTGTGCTAACAGCTGGTTTTATCTTGGTGTCTAGACTTTCGAGCAATACCCAGTCAGCCTACAGGTGTCCACATCTTGCCAAGGATCCTTTGTCCAGCTTGCTGAAGAATTTGAAGACCCTCCTGAGAATCCCAAAACTAAAAGAGGCTTCTGTCCAAACTGCGAAGGGGATTGGACTGTCATGGAGCCTTACAGAAACTGATCCAAAATGTGCTTCCCCATGCAGTTACCACCAGTGTCTGTTCATTAAAAACTTCAGCAGTAATTCTGCATCACACTGGAAGGAAATAGGCAAAATAAGGACTTTGCCACTTTGGTGCCTTGCTTTTTRTCACAGGTTATCATCCCAAAAGACTTACTTTGTCATTCAAAGAAAAGATCTRTTTGGGTGTTACAGACCATTTGGTGATACATGAGCTATAACTGCTTTAAAAACACTTTAGAAATACTCACGACTACCTTGCCAAGTGGTCTGTTACTGCTAGTAAGTACTAAGCTGTTACTTGCAGCAAGTTTCATGTCAAAGCATTATTTACACTGCAGACARTATTAATTTCATGTTTCTTACTCGTTACAGTCTGTTATTCCATTAATTCTGTAAGCTTGATTCTACAGCCTTGGAGATGAAGTCTACTTTTGAAAACTAATTTACTCTCTCATTTCATTTTCTTTCATCTTATTACTTCAGAGGGGATTATTGCACATATGAAAGAAATGAAAAACATAATAAAAATTTCAACTTCATTATCTTATTTAAATGATTTTAGGATTCTTAGCTGTCTTTAGTGTTTGGAAAGATAGTTGGCTCAACTTAYTCCCGTCTTTAAAAATTACAGGAAGACTTATTTTCTTTGGTCTGTTTAGCTAAATGGCACAAACTTCCACAATGCTCAAGACAACAGAACAGGTCAAGCAGTCCCTCCACTATTTTAAACACATTAAGAACCACTTAAACTCAATTGTTAATATGACTGGGGTAAAAAAAACGAGTTAATGTCTAAGCAGCACAGATCCTATCACCTAGAATATTTCATTTTTTAAAAGAGWATAGCAAAGTAAGGCCAACGCTAGTCCTGAATACATGAAGAAAAAACTTGTAAAGTGTCTTGACATAAACATTATAGATTGYTTTTCCAAGATGATTTCCTGTACTGCAGATGCTTACTTGCTGGATGAAAAACATACAGGTAGATCCACAGCTGCTAGTGAGTATTTTAATGGTTGGGACTTTTCCCTTTTATTGGGATTAGAAGGGAGAAGTTTTAGGGGGGTTGGGAAGTTACTTCTGTGGAGTTGGGGGAGTGTTTTGCATGGATCTGTACAAACCCATGTGTGCTGTCAGCACTTCTGCAAATCCAAAGCTTGGACCAGAGTAGATAMAGGAGTCACTGGCCTGTTTCTAATGCTATTTGCTCACATGGTCAAGGTACTCAACCTCATCTTAAATATGACTGTTTATGCAAATGGTGGAAAATAACAAAACCCTTATTAAATAATAACTCCTCAGAGCATCAGTGGATCTTGCTTTACTCAAGACCTATTATTTTGACACCATACATTTAAAAGTTCAATACACTAATATTTTGTCTGCTTACCCTGAAAGGTCTTCAACAAAGGACAAAAATAATCAGCTTGTGGTTCTACTACAGGCAGGAAGAATTTAGTTTTACCTGTTCACACAAACACTCAACTATTTCTCATCCAACATTATGTAAATATATCCCAAGCTTAAAGAGAAGGTCAGATTAAATGTATTGAGTTTGCTATTACAGCACAAGAATTTGTCTTAACTTTATTTTCACGTACATTTCCAGAATATATAGAGTATAGAAAATGGTATATTTTAAAGGCATATAAGGTAGAATAAAAAAATCCTAAAATATGTTTGTCCTGCTTAAACTCTAGCTCAGACTGGTTTGGTATTTGTTCRTTTGCTATGAAGAACATTCCCCTGTGTTCTGTGTGGCATCATGCACGTGCTGTACGTGTTTGTACACAAGTGGAGGTGTTGTGCATSAGGTGTTTGCTGTGTGTGTGCTTTTCACTTTATTACAAGACAGAGCTTTTACAGTGGAATTAAGTGGTGTGTTCAAGTGTATCTACATCTTTAAGTGTTTGCTCTGTAAATGACCTGAGCATTATCAAGGCAAAAACCTGAAGCCTCTCTGCAAGYTGGTGGCGTAAAAGGTTAACACAGAATTATTCAGGACTGTCCKCTAGATATTAGAGCTTTAATCTGTATTTGCTTAAGAATTTCCCTTATTGTTTCATGTTTCAATAAATCCGGCAAAATGCCTTAACAGTCTATCTACTTTCATCCTTAACCTTGCATCTATTTATTTAAGACAAATTTGGCTTGCTAGCAAAAACTCAGGGTTTGAACCTGAAATGTGTTCAGCAAACTATAGAAACACTTTTCTAAAAAGTAGGGTAATTATTCTTGAAATTCAGAGCACTCCCACTAAGAGGAAGAAAGCTTGAGAAAATACTAGCATGATGCTAGACTGGGGAGAATGCCTTTTCTTCAAAATGAATTGGGTTTTTTTGCTATTACTTTTAGTGTGTTGTCMTGCTTGCTCATCCTATTTTTTTAACAGTCTTATTGGGCTTTCTTTGCTCCCAAAAGACAAGTAGCACATGCCAAAGCATTTTAGGATGTTAAAGGAATGAAGATGGAACTATATGACGTATTACTCATGTAGGAGACAGTTCCTACAAAGCTATGCACCTGAACTTTTACTTTGTGACAAATCAAGGATAAATCTGAAGAAATCAGGTAAAATTTTATTATCTTACTACATTATATATCAGCTGATGTATAATGATACTGAATTTGTTCTATTTTTAGTACAATACCTCATTCAAAACCTATTTACTTTTTTTTATTGTTTGTGTATTGGGCCAGTAGTGAATATACTGAAATAAACAAATGGTTAGAGCTTTTCAAAAGTCAAATCTCTACTTAAGCCTCAAAGCTGTGACTGACTAGGACAGGCCACTTCATTCATTCTCCACACTGATCTCCAAACTCCAAAATGACCATCAGCCAAAGCCAGTATTACACTGCTGAGTAGTTAAGCCTGGTATTACAGGAAAAATTTAGCTCACAAAATTGCTGAAAAATAAAAACCACCAAGTCATTTTATCTTGAAAACCCATCCTGGAATTCATAAGCACAGTAATTGCACTCTGATTTGTTTAGTAGCAGTGTTCAGTTMCAGTAAAATCCACAAAGGAATTTAAAATGAAATTTTTAAAGGCCAATTTCCTAATGGGCAGACTCRGGGAATGCTTTTGTAAAGGACACATTAACCATGAAATCACTATGTGATAAAAGCCCAGTGTAATAAACATGTTGAGTTTGGCTGTAAAATCTTATATTTGGCATTGCTTGATCGCTACTCTGCTTAGAAATCTGCAGATGTAGGCACAGTAATGCTTTTTGGTTTCCCTTTTCTCCCTCCCAGAAAGACACAAGGCAAAGCTGAAGGGATTCAGGAGTGGAGTGGGGTGTTGTTCCCAGGCTGAACAGCAAAGCTGCTGAGAAGTGCTCCCGCCAAAGGCTCTGTGTGCTTAAATTAAATGTGAAAGACAATCAAGAGAAACATTTGCTGGAGWACAAAAAGGAGTTGTTTACTTTTGCAAAGCAAGTGGTTTTAATAAAAACTTGATGACACTTACTGCACATTATAAAGAGCAGAACACTGGCCCTGCACCAGGACAGACACTCTGAGTGCAGCTTTAGGCTTTATAAGTGTTTGTTTTTTCATTGTGATCTGGGCCCCATGTTTTTACACCCCCTTATATATAACATATTTCAAAGGGATATATCTGGTCTAGGAATATGGTTAGTATATTGCTTACAAATTAATTTGCATGGGCTTTATTTGTAATCTACTAGAGGCCAGGAACAAACTGTTAATGTCTAGTAATGGGAAAACCATTTATGATGGTGAAATACGTAAAAGAAACAACTTGGCTCTATCTTGCTCGGACCCCTGACCTGGAGGTGCCAGACATTCTGTTTCACCTGCCTTTTTTTTTTTAAATTCTGTTTCACATCAAGAACACAGTACATTTTTAGAGAAACAATACCTTTACTACAAAACCATGTAAATGATTATATACAAAATGGTTACTGGAATTTGGTTTTGTACTGCAGTGACAGAAATAACTAGGTGCTGGCATTTATTTACGCTTCCTTAATACTAAGTACATCACTCCACTGATCAGGGTAAAGGCAAACGCAATCCAGGCTAAGACAAAGGAATAGCCATATTGGCCTTTGGAAACTTCCATTCTATATCCATAGCTCTGGTGCAGTTCTTCATGCCTGTCTGTGTAAATGGAAGCTGCGATCATAACACACAGACCTGTAGGAGCAAGAAAATAATAAAGGTTAGCACCTTAAAGTATTATCGGTACACACAACTAAACTCTCCTGTCAGCTGCTTCCAACGATGTCCCTTCTTTGCAGACATTGGTTTTCTATCCTCAAACTAACCTGCAACCATTTCAAGACATATTTTCAGTTTCTTTGGCATGGATTAAATTTGAAGTGCTGTTGTATATCTRTGTTATTTCCAGTGAACAGAAAATTATTCTGAACATCTGGGTAGTTTTAAAGACTGACCAAAAATGAAGGGAATACTTGCCTGTAACAATTACAGAGTTATTTAATTTGTTCAAGAAGTTCAGAATCTCAAGTTCTTTCCCTTCAAAGTTTAAATTACTTTACTGTGAGCAGTGATGACATGTTTTAACGGCCTAAATTACAGAATGGAATAGTTCACTGTTTAAACAAATATGAAGGATAAGCTATGGCCTCAAGAGCACTGCAGAGTTCTAGTGCAGCTCATTCTTTTTGAGACATTTTCTCCTCTCTTACTTTCATGAACACAACATTAAAGTCAAAAGCGTTGAAAAATCACTCACATGACAGGAGCTGGATAATAGAGGTTAACACAAATCTTTCTCCTTGCTTTAGGCGGAAGAGTTGAAGAAGGAAAACCAGAAATGCCACACAACAGAAAATCGTAGACAGGATCATGGCGGCCTGAACAGCCTGAATTGATTGATACTCTGCAAAAACAAAAGCAGCCTTGATTAAAAATAGTTCTCTCTTTGCCTTCTCCTGCAATGAGCAAAGGGGCAGTTCTGTAAGCAGGAGTTCAGCAGTTTAGCTGTCTCCAGGTCTGGTGGGAGGCTGGGATCTGCTGTTRTTTACTGTCTTGCACTGGTCTCTTAAGTGCACATGACAGTTCCTTCTTTCCTCTCACAGAAACTGTTAAAAAAGTTGCTTTTCCAAAATGAAAAACCAGAAGACCTGTCTAGTTAGCATATGCAGATTTTGAAGAATTATATAACTTCCCCTGCAAATTTCGTAGCAATTTCAGTAAAGGAATAGAGACACAGGCATGGAGAGACACTCACCATTGAACTCATCAGTGATAGCCACACAGGTGCTCGTATTTGTGAGGCACATTCTCCAGACATCTGTATAAAAGTTATCTCCCACCCACCAGGCCTGTAAAATAAAAGTAAAGAGCTCTCAAAGGGAGGAAAAAAAAAAAAAAAACAAAACTCTTCAGTTGTCCAAGTGTCTACTGATCAGATACTTCAGCTGGAGCAATTTTCTGTTCATTTGTGATACTTAACCACTCAAACCAAATATGAGATCTAATGGCATTTTGGAATAAATGTCATTCTCGTTTTAGACCTCTGTAAAGCAGGTAAAGGAATCTTACACACCCCAAAGCACTAGGGACTTCCACTGTTTGGGCAGAAATTGTGGATATTTTGAAGTAGTCAGTGATTGCTCACTCCTTGAGACACACACACAAGGTATGGTTTGTTCCCCCAGACCCTGTTTAGAATGCACATGTCTCTGAAGGCACAGCATTTGCTAATTTGCAGGAAATATCATCACTTGTGACATGTTCTGGTTCCTGTCACTGAGATGATTAATCTCAGCGCAGTGCAGCTGTGCTGAGGTGCACTATGGCATCTGTCTGGTAATGGCTGGTGACAAATTAAGATCCTCCCGTGGTATTTCTATTTTGAGCTTTTAACATTCAAGGCAAAATGGTATTGCAGTGTCTGAGTAGATTTTTACAGTAGCCTGGAAAATGACAAGCACTCCACACAAGTGGCATTTCCTCAGGAAACCCATTCCCATTCCAATAGCTACCCWGGCCTTTGTTTTGACTAGAGCTGGACAAAATATGACTTAAATATGATTCCTGGTAGGATCTGCTGCTTAAACAGACATTCCAGAAGCCTCAAAGCTTATTGTGCAGCTTTACAAACAATACTGCAGTAAAAACTATATTATATTATGGTAGTAGCAATGCTGTGTTTAAGAAAAGTAATTATTTTCTCAGGATGCCATTCATTTGGATTTTACAGTCCAAGTTCAATATATTATTTTTCAGCTCTAAGCTCTATATAATATATAGCTGTGTAATATAATCTAATAGAAGATGGTTGTATGGTTTAAGYTTTTAATTGTTCAAAAGTAGCTAATGACACAAAGTAGAGTGCATAGGATTTTATTTCTGTAATCATTTGGTTTGTGTGTAGCAGATTTGAACTAAGAATRATTTGCTTTGCCCACTGTCTTTGCTTTCTAAATATTCAAAGGAGAGAGGTATGCCAACCTGCTCTAATGCTCAAATAATGACCTACTTCCATGGAACAACCAACCAGCTGACTGAAATGTAACATCTGAATTTGTACAGTTTTTTGCACAGTCAAAAGTGTGGGTAACACATCATTTCACTTGGAGCATAGTCTTCACTTAACAGTATTTTCAGCAGCAAATGTTTTAATATCAAAACCCTGTACATACATCAGACCTCACAGACAGATTCCAGTGCACAGATTACTGATCAGGATAGTGGGCTGCTTAAAAAAAGGAAAATTCCATTAAAAGCTAAATATTCAAAGGTAAATTTWTCCTGATCACAAAAATAAAATGGAAATTTGAAAAGAAGACAACATATAACATTCTAAAACTCTGTGCTGAAACTACTTCAACTTAACAGACACAGATTCAGGGTGCCTCTGATGATTTAATCTTGGACAAACACTTCTGARGCAAAGCACACCTTGATTGATATTACCCCACACATTAATCATCAGCTGTTTGACTTCATGTACTTGACACAAAAGGACAGTGGATTTCTCTCCCCTCTCTCCCTCATATTCAGCTGAACCAAGTCCCAGAGCTCCACCCTGTGAATRTGCTCCCTGGCCAAGTCTCTCACASGGRAGAGGATCTGCTGCATGCCTTGARCTTCTAACACAATGCCATGCAAATGTATGGCACATATATGGATAGCCTTATCCTCAGCAACATGCATAACCAAGGCATTTTTGTTACAGAAAGTCTCAGCAGACCAGTGTGCCTAAGAAACTTAGGTTCTCTCAGTTAGCAAGCTGAAGAGAAGTAGAGAAGAAAAACTCAATTTTTATGAAGAAATCCCTGTGTGTTTGAGAGAATACAAGATGAAATGACACTTACATTGTCGATAGTTGAGATGAACAGCAGCGCTGCTGAGGTTATGTGAAACACGATAATGAAGGCCAGGAGAATCAACATCCTTGCTCTGGGGAGGCTTTAGTCTGAGATAAATCTGTTAAACAGAAGAAAATAKAGGAACAATCTTTAAAAGCTGTCAATGGATCAACCTGCAGTTRTGGTGCTGTTAGGGACAGGAACATCAGATGCAGTTGGAGTCCACAGCACACATTCCATCTCTGGAGATACTTAACTGGCATCAGTGGTGTTGAAATGAATCACAACTTGAAATGAAGCCAAGAGGTGCATTTTGCAACCTTCCAGTGTGATGACTGCAGTGAATAAACACACAAAGAAGTTTCTTTCTTKGTGCTTCTCCAGCAAGGCTGGAAAACTCCTTCATGTTGGCTTTTAGAGAAGTGCTTTTCAAATTACAGCTTCATGTGCAGTGATGCTACAATTTCCACTGACTATTGTAAGGTCTTGTATCAACCACCCTCCCAAAGCAGGAAGAAAAATATTTCAAAACGATGCCTGTAGAACAAAATTAAGTGCACCTATGTTGTACCTTASGTCTCACATCCTTTGTTCATACAGTTGTAAGTTTTATCCATTGAATAATGACTAAGGACTACCATTTGCTTCAATATATTGCTCCCAGTGGCAGGGCTGAATAAACCCATTAGTCACATAATAATCTAGTTAGTTACTTTATGTTCAGTCCCTTAATACTCTCTCTAGGCTACCTATTGCCTTCATTCCTTATTCAACCCACTGACTACAATATCAYATCTCACATGAAGAAAAAACATTTTTATGTACAAGAGAATCAAAAACTGGAATCCCCAGAAAATCTGTGGGCACATAACATATCAGTTAGGGAAAACTACTGCTGTAATACACAGAGAAGTGCAATCGCTTGACATATCTATTTCTTCTTCGACAGAAATTCTTGCCAATTAATATGTGTTATATGCTCTAAGGAATCTGCAGTCCTGCAGATCTTTGCAGTTCAGGTGCACCATTCTGTACATTATCTACATGTTATCTATCATCAGTAYATTAATGCATATTTCTCCCTTTCCTTTGATTTGGATACATTCTATGATGTCAAATGATGCCACTCACATAGCACAGTAAATAAAGAAAATAAAGGGCAGTTATGAATTTTTTTAAGACTTCCGTTATTTTTTTCATGTCTAACCCACTCTCTCCTAATGCCATTTACTGGAATCATGACCCACATGAATAATTTAATCAAATAAAAGGACTACTCTGACAGCATTTTTAAAGCAGCTTCACTGGCACTCTGATCARGGCAAATTATAACTACTCTGCAAAACTTTCACAAAAAGATAATCAACAGCATAATAACCCAGTGAATAGAGACCCAGAGTTCCAGACTAATCCTCTCCATCTCCACTGCAGTACAGAGTTATAACAAGCTCAAAGGCAAACARTATCAAACTGCTTTTGTGAAAAATTACTGGATAGCCTTGTATCTGTATCTAAAATGGAATGACTGAATGGGAAAGCCAAGTCAAGCCCTAAAATAGGAAAAGTAGCTACTAAAGCAGCTTCCCATTTCCTCTCTGTTAAACTTTGGCTTCTCAGCCACWGTGAAGCACTGAAAGTGGCAATTTCCTCCAATGAGCTGATTCTGCTGCATGACTCAAGGTCCTCTGAACCCAGTTCTGCTCCTTGAAATGTCATTCATGGCTCTCTATGGAGCCTTGCTTGAATGAAAGGAAGGAAAAATGAAAAGAAGATATTTTGTGGGTTTGTATAATGCCACATCAAAATATTTTCATTGTGATATGTACCAGTCTTTGTACAGCACCCTCTTGTCTTGTGGCTGGTTTTTTTCTGAGGTTCATTTCTTGTACAGATGGTATCTAAGCAGACAATAATGCAACAATCATCTGCCATATAAGGAGAGAATCAGATTGTACTCAGTATTATTTCAAGACTAACAATACAATTTCATCTTACTGCATCAAGTATCATAAAGAAAGAGAGCAAAAAATGTAAYCTAATTAAAACCAATCTCGCAAAAGCAAGACTTGCCAGCACAGAAGAATCCACTTAATCTTCAATCAAGTGAATGTTTTTGTTTTACTGTTTTCAGCCATAAAGAGAAGTGTTTCAGACAGGATAGATAAACATGGATGGCTGGTGAGGAGAAGATATTTTTTGTTTTACCCAAATAAAGCCAAGAGTGAATGAAAGAGATTTTTG